AAAGTATTGCTCAGTAAGTAATGTTAACTAATGCATTATCTATTGTTAACAAATGAGACCTTGTTGTAAACTTAATGAAATCAGTTACAATTCTGCTTATTTTTGACAAAATGAGAACAGTAGTTGCAAAAAAGTCTGCAGATTTAGTATAATAAACAGCATCCACTGAATTGTTTAGTAGGGTTCATGCTAAAACCAATAAAAACAGTTTGTGTGTGTGTGTCTGTGAATAATGTTTTTATGCATTAATTGATACATTTTTAATTTTTAATTTTTTTTCTGTGGTACAGATCTTATGTGAACTTCAGTAACCCACTTGCATCTGAGAGACAGAGATAGTGAGTGAGGTAGGTCTGCATTTATTCTGTGTAGATCACAGATGAAGGCACTGGATGTCATCCAGTCCTATGGAAGTTAAGTAGCCACAGATAAGTTGAGCACAGACATAATACTCTCTTTACTATCAGGCCGCTTTGAAACGAATTGCCCCCCGGTCATTCCCGTGGGCACAATAAGGCCTTTTACATTTCCTGAACGCACTGGCACACATGATAACTCCCTGATTGAATTAGCTCAATGCTATACGACTTCCTGTATGGAAAGCAGATGAATTTGAAATTCTTATGTCTTATGGCAACAGAGTTTCATAATTTCACATCTCAGCAAATATCCAAGGAAATATTTCGCAATACTTAATGACATCACCGCACCCTGTTGCCAAAAACAATATTGTTATCGAAACAATGAGACATACCAATCCTGATAATCTTGACATTTCACTGTGAACCTCCACACCTTCATTGTGAATCTTGTTGAGTACGATGCAATCTGTGACTGTCACGTTTTGCACACTATTAACAGGCCAGACATCCTGAAAGACAACTCGCTCTGAAATACTGAAGTGTGCTTAGTCATAACAGAGAAATAATGACTCAGAAACATGCCAATTATATTTTTCAGCACTTCAGTCAGCTTTTTTGTTTGGATGCTTTTATTAATGGTTTAAGTTAATGTTGGTGGTTATTGACTGGCCAGAAACACTCACTCTGGGCTCTTTTGCCTCCTCCCCTCCAAACTATTATCACATACTTGACCTCCACAGGTCAGGAAAAGGGAAATCGAAAGCAGGGTCACATTCTAACAGAGAAGCAAGATATTATGCTGACCATCTGATACTTTTGAGAGGAAATCAGTTATGCTGACCTTTCAAGCATAACTTAACAATCGGTTTACATCCTGTCATGCCAAACTGAGATGGTGAGTTTTAAATATGTATTAAATGTACAGTATATGAATTTATTTATTTTCGTATGTGTGTGTGTGTATCAACATCAGCCCCTGTAATGATATGATTGTTCATCTTGTGCAACTTTTTCTCTATCTACTCTCCTTTTTTTGCTGAAAGATATGCCCTGGAGACATTGGATCACATATCCTGTGTGTGTGTGTGTGTGTAGTGTCATGGAAGTGGAACTGAGAGCGTTGTGCTTTAATAAGCGCTGCGCTGTATCGTGTGACCTCCTGGCCATGGCCCCAGGGACCTCCATTCTCATTACCAACAATCATGGTGCTTTGCTGCAGATGGGGGCAAGTTTAAAATGTCAAATTTGCCATCAGACAGTACATACAAGTAAGGACGATATGAAATCTTCTTTCATTCATTCAAAGCAACTGATTATTCTCTGTGATTTTATGACAAAGTAGAAGGGATATGTATAACCACATAAATAGCTTCATTTAATCCAAACATGTCTGAGCATTTTCTGGATACAATAAAGCCCCGCTCTGATTCTCAGTTAAATTAGTCATGTCTTAAATTCCTGATTTCCTTTACTGATTGACTGATTGCACCATTATCAGATTGTGTCATATCATATCACCTCTAAATAAACCAGTCTACTCTGTAGTGTCAGCGTATTCTCTTATGCCTTCAGGTGCAAAGATGTTTCATTGTTTTTGCTACTTCCTGTTTCCCTGTTGAGTGCTTATACCATGTTTTTGTAGTGGTTTGACCCCGCAGTTTCACATTTTCACAGAAGTTCTGTAGAGAATCACTCATTCTTGTACTGTAATTGTAAGAGTTTTCTGTATAGAATAGGAAATCCAAATGTAGCTGGTCTCAGTGGAATGGGATGGGTGAAATACCAATCTAAAAGACTGCTATTTGGTAGAAAGGCCTACTAGTACACTGATATTTGTATACTTACTACATAAAGTATACTTAAAAATATACTTGAACTTTACTTAAGTATACTTACTAAAATAAACTTGAAGTATACTACTTTTTGGTAAGGGATACCTGAATATAAGATCATAAATTGAAAGCAAGACTGTGTCTGTGACATTATGATGAAATACTGTCAAGTGCCTTTCTATCAAGGAATCCTTTAAAAATATGAACCGTTCACAAACAAAACAGGTCTTAACATACAAAACTCTGGATGAATTGTATCTTCCAGGCCTAGAAATAAAAATGTTGAAATCCCAGATATTTCCAGATTTTCCATGACTGTGAATATCCAGCTTAGAATACAAACATGAGGAAGATGAACAGAAGGCGATGAAGACAGAATATGTAGAAGAGGAAGAGCAAGACATTCCTTATTAAAGGATCAAGACTTAAGGTGCGTTCGACTTCATGCGGCGCCGCGAAAACCGATCGCCGGCTGACTTGAAGCAGTGCATGCCGGTTAGAAATTATAGTTGTCATGCGGTGAATCTGGCCAATCGTGAAATGGCTGTGTCGTCATCAACGCTCCTGCAGTCGCTCTGAAAAAGCTGCGCCAGCTGAGTCAGCCGGCTGCTCTCGAAACGCTATCGCGGTACTTTGATGCCACACGTGACAGTGACGTGGTGTCGGCGCCGGTTCAAGTCGGACTAAATTTCTAACCGACATGCACTGCTTCAAGTCAGCCGCCGATCGGTTTGCGCGGCGCCGCATGAAGTCGAACGCACCTGAACTCACCTAAAATGTTCCGCCAATGGCCCACGTGGTTATAGGGCAGCTAAACAACGGGACTTGTGTGGAAAGCTAATTTGACATTTATTCTTTTAAACTAACGAGTATAGTAATATCTGTTTTTACATTAGTAGTAGGCTTCCTATTTTATTCAATTGTTCATTAGATTCTAGTACTTTTTCCATTGCTACTTGTCACTTTCCTAATTCAACAATTCTAATTTTAGTAACTTTTGAAATTTCCACTTTGTAGTATTCCAGTTACTTCTTCTTCTAGTTAATCTATGGTACCAGTAATTATAGTTATTAGTGTCTATTTTAGTTATAGTAGGAGTTATTTATGAGATACTAGTATCTGTTCCATTTGTCACTAGTATCATTATCACTAACAATGGAATAGTTACTGGACAGTGACAACTGAAAAAAAGTACTAGTATCTAATTAATAAGTTAGTGATTAATTCAGTAGAAGTTGGAAATGGAATTATCTATTGAATAGTAAGAGTGAAAAAATATACTAGTCACTATTGAATTATAAAATAATACATTATAATACATACAATATTTGAGGTATTTTTAAGGAATAAATGCTGAAACGGCTTGCCATAACACTTGTTTCCATCGGAGAAAGTGAAGACTGAATGTACAATTTGCATAATAGGGACAACCTACAAAACGCTTTGCACGATTTCATTGCCTCTTCATTTACGGAAATATTAAGTATGCACTTAAAGTCTCCACTCTAATTGGCGATTGGAGGACTCTATCACCTCCGAGAACGTTCCCGCCTTCTGATTGGCCACTTGAGAGCGATTGCGTCATCGGCTCCGCCCACTCGGTTCTTCCCTGTTGGTTTGCCAGCTTCTTGTTCCAGTACTGATTTTTAAGCGAGCAGTGACACGACTATATCAGACAGCGAGAAAAGCGGGATTGTACTGCATTTAAACGGTTTCAGCTTGAGGATACGAAAAAGCCGCTTCTAGTTTCTGAACATCTGGGCAGAGATGTAACAGTTTTCTGGCATTGGCGTTGTGTTTTTGTTGCTTTTGTTGAATTTGTTGTGGGGACCTCCCTAAAGCTTCAACTCAGGAACTCTGACATTCCCTGTCTTGGCAGCTACACTGTTTTCCTTTTGCCGCAGTAAGTCTGGAGTTTATAGATGATACAAAAGGGCAATTTGCCGCAATTTACAGTGAATTTAAGGTCCTTGCTTTGGCTTATGAGTTGTCATAGTCTTTGAACATCAAGTTGCGTTTCTTACTACAACGCATTTATGTTACGTGGTCTTTTAAATAGTGCAACACTGTAACCCTTTTTGTAGGGTGGGTTTTAAACGGTTTAATCCCCAAATTATTCCCAGTTAATTGGGCACATGTATTTTACTGCATAGACAACCTTATTACAAACTGCATACTTATTTTCTGAAAGTGTTTTAAAAAACTTTTAGAATGTGATTTAATAAGTTAGTTATTCAAAGGGTTTCACAAAAGTGACCAGTGACATGTTTATTTTTAGACCCTATAAACATTACATGTGCCGTATATGATAGGTGTATTTGTATATTGTAAGTTTTTCATGGTTTCCAACTAATGTTCACAAATATAACCAGTATAACGGATTAAATTGGTTAATGGCGTTGCTATTGCTTACAGTTACAAAGTTCAAGCATTTTAATTGACTTTGTACTAAACGCTGGACTGATAGAAAAGAACCAATGTTTTCCGTGCTGGTATAGCTCATTTATACTGCCACATATCTGCCCACAAGTGTTGTGTTGCCTTCAGGAGCAAACATTTCTGTGTGTTACAGTGTGCAGAAAATGGCAACTGCTCTCAGTGGACGACCACCTAACAATCGGAAAGGCCGTATTTTAGGCATTATTGACGCCATCCAGGATTTTACTCAAGTTTTTTTAGAATTGGTGACTTGTAAAGTGTAGTGGAGTAATTTTCACTGTAAGGTATCTGTACTTTTACTCAAGTATGGTTTTTAGGTACTCTTTACACCTCTGTTGTTTGATACATTGTAGCAAACAGTTTACTGTGTGGCGGCAAGCTCGAGAAGTTTGTACGTAGCTGAAATCCACCCAGCTATCTATCTATCTATCTATCTATCATTAGAACTTGTATATCTCACAGAAATGTATATTTTGAACACCATTTTAAGTAATAAAACATTTATTTGTAACTATTTATTTTATATAAGCAGTCCTTTTGTGATTAAATTTTTTTTATTTATATATTAATGTATACATTTCTACTACATCTTATGTGATTTATTTCCCGTGCATCTATCATTACTACAAATATTTTATAAAAGATTTATCAGTAATACCACCTACCTTTGAATTTTTTCTTTGTTCAAAATAAATTGTTTAGTAAAAATTGCTATTTACTTTGTTCCCAGTGAAGAGGAGTTGGTTTTTTTAAGCCGACGCTGTGTGTTTTAAAAAATTTTTTTTTTTTTAGGTGAGGTTGTGTCAGAACCCCAGACTACAGCTGAAGAACAGTCCTCCGTACATCCTGGATATTTTACCTGACACTTACCAGCACCTGAGGCTGATTCTGTGCAAATACGAAGAGAACCAGAGACTTACTCAGCTAAGCGAGAATGACTATTTCAAAGTGTACATCGACAGCCTGATTAAAAAATCCAAAAGAGCAATCCGCCTCTTTAAGGAAGCCAAGGAGAGAATGTATGAAGAACAGTCACAAGACAGGTAGGATGCTTTTTTTCCACTTATGGTCTGGTCTGGTCAGTGATTTGTACATATGTATTTGGTTTTGTCCATTGCAAAGTGAAACGAAAGAAATAGAGCCGAGATTTCACTTTTATTCTATGTGCATCGTGCTTGAGAAGTATGTTTTAACACCAGCAGATGGTTTTTAAGATCATCTTCATGCGTTATCACAGTTGTCAGTCTCATAACTCATATGGCCTTTCATTTTGACACTGATCTGTTGCCCTTTGAACGTCCTGCCGGATGGACATAGACACAGGAGAGGTCAGGTCACATGACTGGTCTGTTCGTTGAGTATCCTCTGGTGTTTCATGTCAGCTTGAGTCATGGCTATTTATCATGGAAATCCAACTCTGATCAAGAACAGAAGCCCTAATGAAAGAGACTGACCCACTCTGGATCTAAACCCTTGGTGGGCCAGGCAGACTCTGCGCAGGGCGAGAACAAAGTGAGAGAGATTATTAACAGAGCAAGTGTGTCTCGGGCATAAGTTGACACATGCAGAATACTCTCCCCGAGGGCCATTAGAGCTCTGGGTCAGCCTGCGCTTTTCAGACATGAAACACGGCCCTTGACTAAAGAGGAAAATCTTAGCATTCTGTTTTACTGACAGCCAAGCGTAACATTTACAGCATCTGGTTTAGAGCGTAGCCTCACATCAATTAAACTGCATTTAGGCCACTGACTATTTGGGAAAATAGTGCACAGTTTGAAAACGTATCATAAGGCGTTTGATACTGCCAGCAAATAATAGTGTTTCAGCTGTTGGTTTATATCCCAGTGCTTTTGATTGGCAACTCTGGCTCGGGTTTTGGCAGAAGAGTTTAATTTTAGTAATGCTTTCGAGTCTAGTCTCACCAGATTCTGCAGGGGTGAGAAGATGATTGAAATGAAATTTTTGGAGGGTGATGAAGAGGTAAAGCAGCATTTGTTAGCCTGCAGACACCTTCTGACAGGCCGTCCTGGCACGTTGTTGTATCCAGAAACTGTGACATTCGCTCCGGACAGGAGCAGGGATATCGGCTGACAGCTCCTCCACGTCTGCTGTGTCACTCTGTCTTAAATCTCCAGGGAGAGATCCTCTACTTTGCCTTCCAGCCTTTGGCTCCCTGTCCCACACAAAGGGTGTGATTTTGTAGATTACAGAGTGGAAGGGAGGGAAGACAAAAGGTCAAGAAATCGAGATGAGTACAGGGTTTAACAATAACTATGGTTTGATGGCCCAATGCTAGTTGATTGAACTGTGGCTAGTCAGGTTAGTGCTGTGCTGTCACGGTTTCTTATGATTGATGAACATGCATATGTTTTTTGTGGCTTGCAAGCGGAAACGTTTGGTTTTCTCTGAACATTAAAAATTCTGCTAATTTAAATATGTTGCCACGGTAACATCTTGGCTGGCTCACACAGATTAGGTTTTCGATATTGAACGCGTTAGTTATAATGGAAAATTTAAAAATGATAAAAATAATATTGTTTGGCACTCAATATAAATATTAATATGATAATAAATAGAATGTAATAAATCTAATACATGATATATACCATTTGGTATATATTATATAATGTAATAGTACATAAAAGTATTAATACATTTGTAAATAATACATTGGAATTAATGTGTGTATGACATTGTTGGCAGGACAAGTGAAAGTCCCGCTTAGGCCAGCAGAAACATTCCTTATTATTGAGCCCTCTGAATGAGATGTGGAGAAAGGACAGAAGAGGCAGTAAGAGAGGAGGGAAACGGGAGAAAGAGCTATGTGGAAAAGCAAGGAGAGTTCATTCATAGTGCAGTGGGGCTGTGGGGAGACATCAGTACAGAAAGCTGGTCCCCGGCCTGCAGCCAGGCATCTTCATAGAGGCCCCGCATGTGCTATAGTAATTATACTGCAGCTCCTGAGACCAACAATGGGAGTCTCTTTTTCTGTCTCTCTCCCCAGCACCCTCCTGCCATAAATATCATCTCTGCCATGCAACGTTTGACAGTTTGTGGAGAACAAAATAGCTCCTAAATAACTTATAATGTATAGTTTTGGTGTAACTTTGTGATTCATTCCACAAATATATGCACTGAAAACTTTCTTTAAAAAAAAAAACAACAACTTTTGAGCTTTAAATGTTTTAAATTTTTTTTAAAACTTTTTTTAAAAAATGTAAATGTTTGAAAAATTTTAAAAGCAAACATTTTATTTTCTTAACCCCTTTTAATTATTTTCTTTTCATTATACCCTGTTTTGTTTTTTTAACTACACTATTTAATATTTTTTCAGTGTTTACATTGTTGCACAGCTGTGGGCAAATTACAACAACAACAGAAAAAGAAAAAAATTAACCATAAAGCCATTGATTGAACAGTGGAAAAAAAGCAAATGTGGTCGGTCTGTTTTAACTGCACTATTTTTTAACATCTATTAAAGTATTGTCACATTGATGATACAAACACCCATCTTCAAATTGTGTGCTTAATTCTAGCAATGTCAACCCTGCTTGAAAACTATCAGAGGATTGCTGAGGTTCTGAGTGTCTCCTCTTACTGGAAGGATCTAAATGCATTACTGTCTATTAGTATTGACATTAAGAGGCGGACAAAACAGTGGTCTGGAACAGGCATGAATGGGCCGGATGTATTGAATCTAGTGGAGATTGGCAAGCTTTGCTGTGTCTGGGGCTGAGGTGGCAATCTTAAGCCTTGCCGTGTTGGATCTCTTGTGCTTTAATCTCCTCAGTGTCTTTTTTGGTGACAGAGATGGAAAGCATTGTGGAGAGAAGCGTGGAGCCATGCAGTACACGCTGAACTTCGCTGAAGCCTCTGACCTGGCCTCATTGACGTGTTTGCTTCTCAGTCTTCGTGCATAATAAGAAGATTGGCAGATGTTTTAATGTTCCTGTGGCTTTGAGGTGTGAGCAGATGACAGAGAGACTGCTTTCAACAGCGATAGAGACGCAAGATGTACTGTTCTCAAACTCGCAGAAGAAAATATCTCTTGAGGTTTGGCCTTTAAGCAGGCCACAGACAGTGGGGACGGTCCAGGGAGCTGTTTTGCATTCACACTGACAGTGAAATCACAGTGTATTAACCCCATTCCTTACTCTACCTCTTCTAGCCTCGTCATGTCCAGAAACTAACGTTTTTTTTTTTTAAAGCTCTGAGAGCCCTTCAAGAGAGCTAATTCCCCTCTGAAAAAGGTAATATACTGCACTTTCTCACAAGTGGCAGCCATCTGTTAAAATCTCCTTACTCAGCTTGCTCGGTTTAAAGCTGCTTAACAGCTCCGGAGCATTCGGGGAAGTTTGTGTTTTCCGCAAATGTGCAAAAACTTTCTTCCCAGCTTGCACCTCTACGCCTCTCGCACCTGTAAACCAGTGTAGGCGTTAGCACCATGATGTTTGGAATGGTTTTATTTCCTTAAAGCACAGGATGTTTACCACCCTCACTAAATAACCATCCTTAATTCATGTTTGACCACAAGCTACTACGTTCTCCCGGCAGATGTTCCACAACACTCACTATGGATAAACACAATGCTCTAGTTGTTGAAACGGACTTTTTTTGGAGCCCATTACCATCTGCTGTGAGTAAACAGAATAGGATCAACATGTAACAGTAGAGGGGGCAACAGGAACTTCACGGGATGATGCTTGGACTGAACGCTGTGCTGAAGCAGACTGAATGTAATTGCTAACGCAGCAGCAGATTTTATGGGAAAGGTCACTGATGTAGCTTTATCTCAAGACGCCGTCTGAGCCGGTGATGAAAAGCTGAAGTGAAAGTGCAGACCTTGATGGAAACTGAGCTGTGGATTTGAAACTGCTAGGTAGAGGAACTGAGAGACCGGCCTGCCTCGTTTCCTTTGACCTTGAGTTAGCACATTGCAGAGAGCATCTCTTAAAAGGTTAACTCTGTTATTTTTACTGTGCAAGCAGAAGTTAATGTTCAGTGATTTCTTCGAACTAATTATAGGTTGGCTTGTTTGGTGGATGAACTCAATTGCCCATTCTCCAATAGATTCTGGTCAGAAAGACATTTCAGCATGCAGCAGATTATTTCTCTCATCCAAAGTAATAATTGCATTATCTTTCAGGCTCTCGCTGTGTCTTTTTTTTATATAAGACGTTGGATCCTTATCAGTGGTGTAGTGGTGCCTGGAGAAGTGGGTATACTCTTAATTTATGCCCCCATTTTTTTTAAGCGGCCCAGGAAAGGGTGAACGGCCTGTGTTATAAACAGTGACATGTAAGAGTCAAGACTAGTCTTGCATATTTAGTTTACCCCAAAATGGGCCAATAGTATTTGCACATTTTCACTTTCTGTAACTTCTGCTACTTGACTTACTGGAGTAAGGATCATTATGAAATTATTATTAGCCACAAAAGAGGTGCAGATTTTGCAATAAATAATTAAAATGTAAAAAATTACATAGACTGCAACAATTAACATTTTGTCTGAACCACTAGTAGACAAGCTATTTTGTTTAGTTATCTGTAGGAGAATCATCTCTCTATTTGATACCAAAATAAAAATAAAAATCGCAATCAATTTATCCAGAATTGTGCAGCTCTACTCCTTGTTTGACTGACTGTTTCTTCCATGGAATACAGTGACGGGCAAATAGTAACCCCCTACTTCCCCCATACCTTTTTACAATTTATCTATATAGCCTACTATATAGTGCAAAAAAAAATAGTTTAGAGCATTTTTAATACAATTAAGCACTAGTCAAGCTGCGATATCAAACAGGACCACAAGGAGACGCCAAAAGATCACTAAACCTACTGCCTTGACCTGACTGTACAGGCTTCTATACGGATCCATTCAGAATCTAAAAAACACCTTCAGGCTTCAGCAGCGTCCATTATAAAACATTCGTGCTTTTAAGCCAAATACACGCTGAAAAGAATAATTCTGGACGTGACTTTAAGCAATCTCTAATGAAACCAGTCGTGTTTTCTCTGTAGCTGTTTTGAACTTAGGCTACGGT